CGCAGTGGAACATACGTGTTGATGGGCTTGTGAGGTTCGAAGTCAAAGGAGACCTTCTTCTCCTTGCCTTCGTCCGTCAAGATAGTGCCGACGAAGAGCACGAGACCATTCGGGGGGACACGGTTGTACAGCTTCAGACGCTGTTGTGTAGACGTGATAGCTGCCAGGACGGAGAGACGGTTGACACGAGACTTGATGTTCGACGCGGTACCGTATTCTTGCGTTAACATGGCAGAGACCCGAGAGATTTGATCCTAGACACAAGACTTCAGTCGATCGCTTGGCGATCGAGGCAAATTGAGCGCACCTTGGGTGGGATAATGAGAGAGATCATGGAAGTGCCCGCTCTATAGCACGCGATGAGGAGGCGTAAGTACGGAGCAGATGCGATGGACGCACCCTCTAGCGGCATCGAGGCTCTTGATGAGCTTCTTGACCTTCCACATCTGAATGTTCTGCTCTGCGGGATCCTGACTCATTTTGGCTGCGAGATCGCACTCGAATCGAGGCCTTTATACAAAGAAGAAGAGGAACTGGTCGTCGTGAGGACGAGAGAAGGGAAAGGGAGGAAGAGGAAGAGATTCGGGGTGGAGGTCTGCCCACTTGCAGAATCTGGCTTCCTTCAAATTTTTGTCCATTTGTCAGAGCACCCCACTTTGGGACTTACGTATAGAGAATTCCAAGTCCGGGCTGCCAGCACAGCTTTTATTTCCATATTTAGGTTATATCAGCAGTAATCAGTCTGCCGTGTGCGAGTTATCGACGTGAATTTGTTCTTTTCCTGCGCTCATCTCAGGCCACCGGTGCCGCCGTCAATGGTGAAACGGAAACATGACTCAAGTACACAGCCCGATGTTGTCGACTCGAACAAGCGGCCGAGATTAGAGCCTGAGGAAGCAGGGACTGCCCCGCCGAATGGCGAGAGTGGGCAGAACAACACCGTCTCAAGCACGCGTCCTCCAGAGGGAATGAACGACCACGCCTCCGACGCGTCGCCGACAGTGGAACAGTCAGTTTCCCGGCCTAAGAAGCGTGCGCGGGATGGGAACGCGCAGCAGCCTGAGGAACCCCCACGTGCTGTACACAAAGTCCGCAAACTAGTGCCTCCCCGACCGTTCCCGACTGTACCTACCTCAGTCTCAGCCACAGGGCCGCGCTCTGCACACACGGAGGGCAAAAATTACATTTGCATCACGCGTCGGACAGAACTCGGCGCGTACCTACGCCGTTGCAAGGATGTCTTTCTCAAAGACGGGTGCGTACCCGTACATGTGCAGCCTCCTCGAAAGCGTAGCTGAAGGCATCCCCAGATATAAGACATTGCATCTGAGCGCGATGGGCGCCGCAATCCCGCATCTCATGCAACTTGCTCTCTCACTTCCCCCCATCCTCCCATACTCCCCAGACGAAGTTCACACCGAAGTCAAGACGGGCACGGTTGAAGTGCAAGACGAACTGATACCTGAGGACGATGACGAGGATATCTCATACCGGACACGAGGCAAATCAACTGTCAGCGTCGTCATCAAGATTGGAGACGGCGTTGATGAGCCCGCTGCTGGAGTAGCGAAGGTTCCCCGACGGAAGAACAACGTGGGCCGGGCGGCTACTGGGAGCGTCCACAACGCCGGCAGAGCGAAGGGGGCCGCACCCGTCACCGAGCAGCTCATATACCGGGAGGACGATATGGATGAGAGGTAGACCGCATCTACCCGTGGATTCACGTGCCCTTCGACGGCGAAGGTACGTCCACATTGCGACATTTGCTTTTGTCGAAAATCTGCAACGGAGCATTCTGCAGGACAATTACTCATATGCGTGCTGGTCGCACGGCGATGTGCAGACTCAACGTGATAGAGAACGGCCAATTCATTCAGCCAACCCTCTCACCACATCCTGGGTGGGTCAAGAGTCTGGGTACAACATCGCTGCCACGCGCCTTCACGTCTTACGGCAAGGTGACGGAGCGGGACGTCTCAGCATCATGCCAATATATTCCCCTAAGGAGCAAACCACGACGCGTAGGTCAAGGGCCGGGACTCTTGCCACTACAGTGATATACCGCTGCTCCGCATATGATACAATTCACCTACAGGGGGCTGGATATGTATAGTTCAAGTGGCTAGCGGTATCGTTTTTGCCTGCTCCGACTGTGCCCTTATTCATTCATTCAAGACACGATGATAACTCCCTTCACAACGTACATCGGCTCCTGTCCGCCGGCGGCGGAAAAAAACAACTTGAGAGTGGCGGGATTCCCGCTGTCGTCCACCCCCTGGTATACGGTGTCGTCCATGAAGGATCCACCGTTAGGACTAAGGCTTTCGTAGCCGTAAACGCCACGACTAGCCTTCACGACACTAGCCTTCATTAAGCCAGCACCGGGATTGCTCCATCCCTACGTAACAGATGTCCAATCACGATGGTGAGTCAACCCCCGTCGTTCCACTCACACTCACCACGGCAAAGTCGAAGTGAACGGGCTCATTCATGGTGGTGCGGAAGGCCGTGCCGCCAGACACCCCTGTGAGGATACTCCCGTCGCTGTTGCAGAGGAAGAAGTCCATCTGGGTGAATGGGTTGACGGTGGTGAGCGAGTCCCAGTTGTGGCCCGAGTTGAAGTAGGTGTCGAGCACGGTGATCTGGAACTGCGTCTCGTTCTTTAGCATGCACTGAAGCCATCGCCACTTGTCCTGAAGAGCCGGGGGATGTGGGGCAGCGGCCTCGGCGGCGCGCTATAGACAAGACGCGCGGTGTGAGTGGTAGCCCATAGGCAGCGGTAAGATATAATATGTATATTTGTAGAGTCCTGTGGAACGCGTACCAGTATGCATATAGCCCTGGCACTCTTCACTGCGGGCCTGCCGTGGGACGGGCGATGTTGATTGCACAGTAAGGCGCGATGGGCCTGTTCAGGGGTGAGTCATTGACACACACTCGGGTGAAGCTAGTGAGATGCGGTGGGTTGAAAACCATTGTAATAGAAAAGCGACATAACGGCGTACGAGTACAAGAGAGCGGAAAGAGACCTGAAACAAAATAACGAAGGTGATATGTGGGTTGCATCCCACGCAATGTCGAACGTAGCGGTCAGACACACGTCAAGAGGTATGCATACAAAACCAGTCTTGCAGACCGACAACATCAGAAAAGATACTCTCGCGGCCCATCCACCTCACCCATCCGCTCCGAGAACTGGGAACTGAAGCCGAACCAGCTATCGTCTCCACGACGGCCCACGCCCCGACCCGACGAATTGGAGTGCCATCCCGAACCGACCGACTCACCCTCTGAGCCTCCAAAGTCGTAATCAAAGCTACCCCGGGAGCTCAGCCCGTCTTCGACCTCCGACCACTCGTTGTGGAACTGCAGATCGGACAGAGGCGTGGAGATCCCACGCGGTTGCGGTTGCACCGATGCGGACGGGGTCCAGGCGGGGGCGGCGAACGACGCGGAGAAATCGAGAGTTGGCAAGACGAACGAGCGTGCCGGGTCGATAGCGGCAGAAGATGCGTCCCAGCTTCCGTTGATGTCCGAGAGGCTAGAGAGTGACGCGGAATGCATATCGCTGTCAGCCTCGCTCGCTCCACTCAGAGCTTCGAGTGCGGCGTCCAACTCTTCGGCCTCCTCACGTTCTTGATCCCGCCAAACTTCCTCGAGCGCACACCACCCGGTCCCAGCCTCCCCTAGTACGCTGCGGACTCTGTTCGCAGTCCAACCCTCGAAGCGGACCTCGAGCACCGTGCAAAGTCCAGTTGGGTCTCCGCGCGCTTCGCAATGAACGCCTGGGTCATCGAAGACGCGTGAAGCATCGAGGCGTGCGAACAGAGTGGAGACCCGTAGTGCATGTGTTCCATGGGAAGCATGCATCGATGCTATGAGCTCAAGCGGTAGCAACGGTCGAGACGACGAGGACGGTGGGTTTAGCGCCAGGGGCAGCCGCGACGTCGGGGTAGGCGCAAGAGGGATAAGGAGATGCGTGGTGACCTCAGGGGCTGCGGGAGTCGGGAAGTAGTGCTCGAGCTCCTCCTTCTGAGTTTCGTCCTTGGTGGCTTCCTTGGTGGCTGAAGTCACGCTCGCCCGGACGACAGGCTTGAGGGGGCGCAAAGGCGCCTTAGCCTTCTTAGCCGCCTTTGCCTGTGCCTTCGCCTTCGCCTTCTCCAGCTTCAATCGCTCCTTCTCCTCCTGCATGCGTACCTTCCAGTCCGCCTCACTGAATGCCCGTGCATATATGGGCACGTTCTCTGCAAGGTGTTGGAATACCGGGCGGCCCGAGGAGAAGTTACGCGCAGTGCCCAGTCCGACCTGCGTAATGCTCCGCGGGACAACCGGGGCGCGGGGCAAGAAGGGCACTTGAGCAGGGCGAGAGAGGAAGCATCTTGCAGGGTACGACATCCGGTCGTGAATCGTCGGCATGCGCGTCGCTGGGGTGTGGAATGCCCTTCCGCGCGAGGCTCCTGCGACGGCATCTCCTGGCACTCGGAGCGTTCCCGGAGTAGTGAGGTGTGCGACGAATCGCGAAAGAAGGGTACGAGTGTTTCTAACAATCGACTGTGCGGCCGAGGTTGCTTGGGTTGCTGCTGGACGAGGTGTGTATGCAGGGATGTGGATGGCTCGTGTAGCCGCTTGTGCGGTGCCGCCTCCACCAGAGGGGAAGAAGTGGGCCTGTGCCCCCTTGAGGGCACGGAACCCGGACGATGCGAGTGGCATCGCTCAACGCTGAGATCAACGTCGACGATGGGTGCGAAGTCGAGGATGCAGTGGTGGCGGTAGCAGTCGAAGAGTGGAAGACGGAGCCATGGCGAGGATGCGAAGTAAGCAAGTCTGGAGTCGGAGCGACGATCGTCCGTCGCCGTGAGGACACGCAGGTGCGCCGATGCTGTGCTCGGCTGCAGTCGGCATCCCCAGTTTGGAAGGTCTCCTAGAACGCCGGCCACAAACATTCTCCCGGGCAAAACTGTTTGCTCCGCCTCTTCGACGAGGATAGGAAGACAAAACGATGAGTCGGCCCAGGTTCGAACTGAGGACCTTCTGTGTACATGATATGTTAGACAGATGCGATAACCAACTACGCCACCGACCCGACGACACTGGGACCACTCTCCTGTGTGCTATCTCAGGTGCGTCTGTCATAGTGAAGCTACGCAATGAAAATGAACCTCTCCCTCCGGCAAAACGGAGAAGGGCCAGATGACGATCCAAAGGCTTGAGCTAGGCAAGCGATTGCGAGGCAAAACGTTGAGTCGGCCCAGGTTCGAACTGAGGACCTTCTGTGTGTTAGACAGATGCGATAACCAACTACGCCACCGACCCGTTGAAGACGCTCGTCTCAACTACAACCGGTACGTACAATGGACTAATAGACTGTAGAGCTCGTTCAAATGGAGCTCCTGGTCAACCACCGCCTCGCTTGAGCGAACACAACGGGGATATACTGTACCGCAGAGATGCATGGTAGTACGTCTTCATACGGCTACCATGTTCACGCGAATGGTGCCAGTCAAGTAACGCGGCCTTGCCCTCCTCCACCTTGCCGACGCCTTGCGGAACGGACTTGCTGCCGGACTCGATGTCAGCGAACACTGGTCTTCCCGAGCCTTCCGCCACCCAGCCACTGGTCGGTGCAGAGTTTCGCTAGGTGACCCTAGGGAGACACCTACCGGTACGTTTATCCGAACTCTGGTGAACACATACATTGGGCGGATGTTGATGTTGAGACTGAGCATCGAGCAACGCTCGCGACCCTAGATCAAGGACATTCATTCAGCATGATGCAAACCTCGTCATTAGAACCTGGGTATTCGACGTACAGCATCGTCAAAACCAAATGCACGTCTCGAAGGCGAGTTCTCAATGGGTGGAATCCCCGCAATGCGTCCATCTCGACTTTTTCAAGCACGCCTCTGGAGCGCCTCCCCTGGCCTTGACACGTACACAAGATAATACCTGTAATCGATGCGAGCCACGCAGAAACCGCATCGAGGGTGCCATCGACTCACTGTGATCTTATTTGATTAATGGTTTCGAATGTAAGACGCCGATGTCGCAGTGCGAAGTCAAGTAAGCCGTAGCTTGATGCACGATGATCTATACCCCCGAATTCCGCGGTAGCCTCGCATCTCAACGGCGATGAGAAGTCTTACTGCGCCTCCGACCCTACATCGAGGATCACTGTGCAAATTCAACGGCGTACCCGAGGGTTGGGCAGGAGACACTTGTTGCTGCGCCCGAGCGTGAATATACCAGGGTCGTTCTTCGTAGAGGCAGCCATACTCACGCACCCATCGCTGAGCTTGAAGCCGGCATTCTATGAAGTTCGAGTTGTGCTCGGGGTGGGAAGCGGGGTGCGACCAGCATGTCATGGCCAGCATCAGCGACCCAGGACCTCGACAGCTTCTGTTCTTCTCGCAGCCGCGTGCGGGACCATCGTGTTAGGAAACATCGTGCCCGAGGCCACGCATACGTAGACAATGCTGCAGCCTGAGGCCTTGGCGAGAAGAAAATGTAAGGGGGTGCACGCCAGGCGGCGACGACAGGGATGTCCGGGGTCGCAAGGGACGCACGCTGCTTTCATTTCGCGATGTCGACCGACTGCGCGTTCGGGTCGATCGATTATCGGACAGATTGTGGACGAGCCCACCGGGAGCAAGGGCGACCGCCTACGGGAATAGAAGCAGAGAAGCACGAGCGTGCGCGTCCGAAAGAAGGATCCGACACAAGATGCCCGAGTTCCTGCGTCCGGGATGTGGTTGGGGAGTCGTCAGATGATCATATGCGACTCGTCGGTGGGACGAGTCCAAGAATTATTGCGAGCCGCCCGGATGATCTGTACCGTCAAAGTAGATATGCGTATAAGTAACGTCAGGTCTAACAGGAAAACGGTATAACAGACATTAGCATCGCACTGACCGTCCGCCAGCACCAAGCTCCGAAATACAAATGATTTCCATCGGAGGGGTGGCCGACTCTCACGAGCAGGGCCTTTGGGGCATCACACGATCATAGCAGAAGTGCGGAAGCGCTGCTAGGAGATCGCATGTCCCAGCCTCCCCACGCTCGAACTGTCGAGATGGGGTGTGGTCAATGCGAGAGAAAGAGCGCACGGAGCCTCGCGTACGTACTGAAGACGTAAACGGTGTCCGGCGAGAGCAAGTGGCGAATTGATCTCAAGAAGTCCAAGTTCACATCCAGGCGACGAGTCGACGATGGCGAGCTCAGCTCGCGGACATGAACGTGGTAAAGCTCTCCCGAGCTCCACTGCGGCTTGTGTGTCGGCGAGCCATGAGGTAGCGGTAATGCACTGTTTGTCTCGTCCCATGGAGTGTGACCTAGAACAAATGCAAGCTGACAGCGGTCCGGTCAAATTCAGCGGCGCACCTATGGCCAATTATCCTCAGATCGCGCAGCGGTCAATGTATGAGATACCGCCTACCCTGCCTCGCTCACCTGATCGTCTTCTGCACAGGACGGTTCAGATAGCCCGTGGCAACTTACTCTCCCTTTGCCGGTCTTACCTTGCCTTCCTGTGGAGTGATGTCAGCGGGGCACGGTTGAGTCAGCTCACGTAAAGAGAAATTAAGCCGTCTTCTCTGGTGGCAGTTCGTGCCTTCTGCCCAGCGCTCTTGGCGGATTGCAGGAACGTCGTTGGAGACAGAAGCCGTCGTGCCAAGGACATCGGCGCAGCATGCGACGATGACATGAGTTCAAATAATCCACGCCTCTGACAGGCGGTCGCATTAAATCCAACGCTAGTGTGGTTGTCGGCGGTCTTGATTTACGTTTCTCTGGCGTAGTATGCGAAAGGGTGGCTGGGTCAAATGCTGTTGCACCGAGCATACGGATATGAAGTACGGTCTTGAGACTTACGTAGTTGGCGTCAGAGGCACTGGCAAGCACCCACGGAGCGGTCTTTCGGATGCTCCCAGAGGTCCTCTGACGTTCATGTGAGCGCCGAGGTTCGAGAACGAGCGCTCTATGAATATGCGTGTCGAGCCTCGTGCGGCCAACGGGCTTGGGCAATGCTTGTTGCGCCGTTGTGAGGGACCAGAGTAGAAGTGGTACAGGCGACACCTGGACGCACCTAGCTCAACGCTATGCTCCGCGGCCAGGCCTGCTCGTCGTGTACAAGCACTCGCAACGGTGGGTCGCTCTTTCCTGACTTGGGCGAGGGCTACCACGGGCGAGTCTACCTATAGCCAAAGTCAGCGGCGCCCGACAGAACCACAAGAAAGCAGCCACGCATACCGCTTCGAGTATTTGCAGCGGGAGCAGACTCACGGTGATCGACGAGTCTGCGGGTAACCGTGCAGGGCGAGCTCGAGGCGACACGGCCCAGTTCTGGGCGACGATCCATTTCTCCGGGGATTGGGCGGGGTGGGAGGAAGTGCACCGTTCGGTCGTACGGAGGCTCAGGACATGAGAAGCAAGGGTCCAGGATGTGAAGTGTTGGAGTGCGGAATACGCAGCTAGAGAGGCGCCGCAGCTACGAGAGTAGTACCAGCGCTTGCATATGCCACATTCTACAAGTTCAAACTCTTCAGAACATTCGCACTCGCCATTGTTGAGAGAAGGGTACGCAATTCGCCACATTGTGAGAGTTTGTGCACCGTCCCTATATGATTCTGTACCCAGCGCTGGGTACAGCCGTACTCACAAGTGTTGTACAAGGATTGGAACCGACCTGGGCGGCAGTGGCATACTGGCTAGGCCCCGTCGCTCTAAGGGCGCAGGCATCAGACATACTTGTGTCGTACAATCCTCCGTGGCATATGTCGTCGCTAGTGGCGCTCTGCGTTATATATCGACGTCTGGCATATAACGAGCTAAGAGTTTGGGTGCGTCAACTTCAGGAAGACGGGGCAGAGGGGAATTGAACGCAGTCGGTACGTACTCCGGGCACACGAACGTTCTTTCGTGCGATGGGCTTCTCATTTCCGCGGACAATTCAGGCTCTGTCAGAGATGCAACTGGGTACCTTGAAGTATCCCTGTTTCGTAGGGGACATGACGAAGCATGTAGCGAATTGAACACGTTTTCCGCCACTGACAATGCTCACGGGCCATTGCGCTCGAATATTAGAGGAAAGGTGGAGGTAAAGGCGTGACACGCGATGCGTGCCGCGAAGCTTGAACCTGCCCTGCAGGTCTGCCCCTTCATCTCCGCACATCCATTGCGCGAAGACGCGTCAGGATGCCAAATCGTCTGCTCGCTACTTGTCCCAGTATCGCTGTTTCCCCGGAATCGATCCTCGCCAGGACGATCGTCGTTCCATGTCCCGATACGCGCAAACCGATGAGTTCAAAGAACGGCGGACTCGGGCCTGTGGCAGGGGACACCGCAGCGTTCGCATCTTGGAGCTTCTATCCGGCGCGCGAAGACAATCCTCAGGGAAGAGGGCAAACACCGAAGATGCGCCGGAGCAGAAAATTTCAGGCGGTGGGCCTGCGTGCGCCGTGCACAGCTCCAGGCCATCTCTCGGTTGCAACAATCTCTGACCCTTTGTGATGGTTTATCAGCTGTTAGCACCTCAGCTCGTAGTCGTCGGGCTCTAACCTGATGGGGCGGACATTACAAAGTCAGGAACGCGCGTTTCAAGTGGTTCTCGCAATCGACTGTGTATGACGATATGACGTCCAGTAAGATTGTCTAAGAAGTGACTCATGGGAGGAGCTGAATACGATGTGTGAGCAAGTCTTGCAACCACGTTCCGGGCTAAAACCTACGTACGTTCTGAGACGGCCGCTGCCGTAACCGCTTTCGTACTGCGTCCTAGGCTCGCTATAGCACGCCCTAGCCCGCGGCGTCGCACAGTGCGCGGACGGGCGAAGTCGTCATGCGATAAGCAAAGCCTCCGTCTCGTCGGGGTGGGAAATGCCGTCTATAGCCGTTAGCCTTGCGATGGGAGATATTGGCCACCGTCGTTGGCCATCAAGCCTTCCAGGGAAGTAAACCCAGTTTCGCCGAGACCGGACTCTGCTCCCGCACGCGGCAATGGAAGGCAATCCTCCCACCCTAGAACTCGACGCAAACAGGGTGGGAACACTCTGCAGGACATGTCCGAGCTGTGAGCCTGTTCAGCAGCAA